TTTGGAGAGTTCAGGATCAGTTTGGGGAGTCCTGGATTGGGTTTGGGGAGTCCTGGATTGGGTTTGGGGGATGGGATTGGGTTTGGGGGGCTAGCAGAGCAGGGAAAAGGAAGTAAGTGCAGGAGGGACCCGAGGTGAAGTTTGGGGTTCTACATGGGGGGTTAGGGGAGGGTGGCAGGGGCTGGGATTGGGTTTGGGGCAGCTGGGATTGAGTTTGGGGGGACTGGGACTGGGTTTGCGGGAGCTAGATCAGGTTTGGGGAGTCCAGGATCAGGTTTGGGGAGTCCTGGATCAGGTTTGGGGAGTCCTGGATCAGGTTTGGGGAGTCCTGATTGGGTCTGGGGGGGTCTAGATCAGATTTGGTGAGTTCAGGATCAATTTTGTAAGTCCAGGATCAATTCTGGGGAGTCCAGGATTGGTTTTGGGGGATGGGATTAATTTTGGCAGTCCAGGATTGGTTTTGGACATTCCTGGATCAATTCTGGGCATTCCTGGGTCAATTTTGGGGATTCCTGATCAATTCTGGGCATTCCTAGCTCAGTTTTGAGGATTCTGGATCAATTTTGGGGATTTTTGGATCGATTTTGGGGAGTGCCCCAGTGCAGCACCTGCAGGAACCCAGAGCTGCAGCTTTAATTGCAATTAACAGCTCCTCTGCAGGATTTTGGGATCATTCCCACCCTGCCCACCCCAGGAGGAATTTGGGGTCGGGGTTACCTGATCTGGGAATTCTCCCTCCGAGGCCGGGAGCCCTCGGGGCTGGCAACAACCTGGGAAAGGGGAGCAGGACAAGGGTTAGGGGCTGAAATAGCCCAAATTTCAGGGATTCCTGAAATGGAATCATTCCTGAAATGAGGAAAAATCCCAAATTTTAGGAGATTCTTCTTGGGTATTCCTGAAATGAGGAAAATTCCCAAATTTTAGGGATTCCTGAAATGAAGTTGCTGAAAATGAAGTGATTCCTGAAATGAGGAAAATTCCCTAATGTAGGGATTCCTGAAATGAAATTCTTGAAATGAAATTTTAGGGATTCCTGATATGAGAAAAACTCCCACATTTTAGGAGATTCTTGTTTTGCTTCTTCACCTGAAGTAGGGCATTCCTGAAATGAGGAAAATTCTCACATTTTAGGGATTCCTGAAATGAAATCATTCCTGATATGAGAAAAACTCCCACATTGTAGGAGATTCTTTTTTTTCTGCCTCACCTGAAGCAGGGCATTCCTGAAATGAGGATTTTGGTTTTTTTTTTTTTAAAGGAATTTTTGCCAAAATCCTTTCCGAATCCCAGCAGGGAATTCTGGAGGTGCCTCCAAAGCAGGGATTTGCTGCCCCTGAAAATTCTGGGGTGAAAAGGGATGGGAGAGCTGGAGAAAATTTCATTTTTCCAGGTTTTTTTTTGGGAATTGGGGGGTTTTTGGGGCCTTACCTTGGCCGGGGGCTCTGGGGTGTCCCCGCTGGTGGCACTGAGTGGCTTCACTGCCACCACGGCAGGGGGGTGGCCCTCGGGGACCTTCCTCTTCAGGGGCTGCTTGGGAGGGGCTCTGGCATCCACAGGCTTCAGGCACACCCTGGATTTGGCTGGGGTGGAGGGAAAGGAGGGAAAAAAGAGAAAGAAAGAAACAAAAGTTTATCAAATGCCTTCCTTTATCAATCAAATCCCTTCCCTTATCAACCCCTTTATCTATCAAAGCCCTTTATCAAATCCTTTCATCTATCAAACCTCTTTATCTATCAAATCCCTTGGTCAATAAATCCCTTTATCAAATTCCTCAATCAAATCCCTTTATCAAGCACCTTTATCTATCAAATCCCCTTTATAAATCTAATCCCCTTTATCAATCAAAGCCCTTTATCAAATCCTTTCATCTATCAAATCCCTTTATCAATAAATCCCTTTATCAAAAGGATAAACACCTTCATCAAATTCCTCAATCAAAACCCTTTATCAATTGAACCCCTTTATCTATCAAATCCCTTTATCAATCAAAAGGATAAATCCCTTTACCAATCAAATCCCTTTATCAAATTCCTCTATCAAATCCCCTTTCTCAACCAAATCCTTTTATCAATCAAATCCCTTTATCAAATCCCCTTTATCTATGAAATCTTGGGCAGCTGAGCTCCCTAAACCCCAACCCCATATGAACCATCCCCACAAACCCCCGAGATTCCCACAACCCCCAAAACGTTCCCACAAACCCCAGAGATTCCCACAAACCCCAATCCCAGATCATTTCCACAAACCCCAGAACGTCCCCACAAACCCCAATCCCAGAGATTCCCAGGAACCCCAGCCCTAAAACATCCCCCCAAACCCCAGAAGGTCCCCCCAGACCCCAAGCCCACCTCTGCCTCTCCTCTCGGGCTGCTGGGCTCCCTTTTTGCCCGGGTCCCTCTCGGGGTTTGTCCCGACGTCCTCCTGGGATCTGCCCCCTCTCCTCCTGCCCAGCTGGGCAGGTCCCACTGCGGCCTCGGGGCTCCCTGAGCCCGGGGGCTCCTCCTGGTTCCTCTCCTGGATCCTCTCCTGGTTCCTCAGGTTCTTCTCCTGGTTCCTCTCCAGGTTCCTCTGGTTCCTCTCCTGGTTTTTCTCCTGGATCCTCAGTTTCCTCTCCTGGTTCTCCTCCTGGTTCCTCTGGTTCCTCCCCTGGTTCCTCAGATTCCTCTCCTGGTTCTTCTCCTGGTTCTTGTCCGGGCTCCTCTCCTGGTTTTTCTGGTTCCTCTCTTGGTTCTCCTGGTTCCTCTGGATCTTCTCCTGGATCCTCTGAATTTTCTCCTGATTTCTCTCCTGATTTCTCTCCAGGTTCTTCTCTGGGCTCCTCTCCTGATTCCCAGCTGGAATTGTCCCAGGTCCCTGCTGCAGTTTCTCCTGCTGCCGTTTCTCCCACATGATTTCCTCCAGGCTCTTCACCTGAACTCCAGAATTCCCTGAATTCTGACAGGGTTTGGGAAAACACACCGAGAGGGTTATTGGGGTGAAAATCTGGGGATAAAAAACCCAGGGATAAAAACTTAGGGATTAAAAAACCCCAGGGATAAAAAACCCTAGGGATAAAACTCAGGGATAAAAACTTAGGGATAAAAACGTAGGGATAAAAACCCAGGGATAAAAACACCAGGAATAAAAAATCAACTATGGCTAAAAAACTATGGATAAAAAAAAAAAAAAAAA